CCCCTGGCAATGCTCATCTCTACATTCTTAAGTTGACACTCAAGGAGACTTATAGATAAACATAAAAATAACACCTCCACCCCCACTTCTAGTTTAATTCAGGTTTTCCTGGGCAAGGGCAAATCTGGTTAGTGTTAGCCCCAAATCTGGGTTAGATATAAGGTGTCCAAGGCTCAAGAAGGCCCCATCTTGTTAATGGTCAGTGCTCTTAGTTTTAGGTTACTTCAGATGAGGGTGAAACGTCAGATACAGATGACAGACACAGATATAGACAGCAGAAAATCTCCAACATATCTCTTGCCAGGAATGCTGTTATGAAATTTCTCTAGAAACGAACTCACCTTTCTAATTATGGATGCCTGGGGCTACAGTGACAGATAATTTCCAAAATCTAAAGTGTTTCCTGGGTTATCAAATTCTGCAGTTGTGGCCAAGGCAGACTGGAAGGAGCAGGCCTGACTATGAAGACCTGAAGCTGGAGGGGAATGCAAGATGGCAGCCATGGGGATGCCTTGTCTAGACCCCCTTCTAAGGAGGCTTCCTGCCCAGCTGTGGGACTGGTCAGCAGACAGGCTCCAGTGCTCAGCTCTGTCAGATTCTGCCTCAGCTACAGAGTATCCTCACAGGTGGCCATGCCCTTTCTGGAGCATCCTGAATCCTGGAATGGAGGGAAGTGGAGGCACAAAGCTCTGGACCGCTGTGCCTCGTCTGAGACACTGACAGACAGCCCTGGCTCCAGAGCTCCCCATCATGCTCATGATTAATCCGGCCTGCATCACAGTTCAAGTTGTCCCTGGGCCTGATCCTGCTTCCTCCCTCTTCCTTTTATAGATGTTAATCCCTAATACACATAGTGCATCCAAAACTCTATTTCAGTGTCTACTTCAGGAAAATCCAAGCTCAAACAATGTGTCAGGAGATGGGGAGTAGGACCCACAGTGGATCCTATAGAAGAGGGCCTCCATAACCAAGATTAGCCCACAGTTGGCCTTAGGGTTTGAGTACAGAATGTTCTAAGACAGTGGTGGTCATGTTACCAGAAAAGGGACCTGACCCTGAATGGGTCTGCCTAGGGTGGGGCAGTAGTATGTGGTTTCTTGACTTTGTGTAGGAAAGATTTCACAATATGAGTTCAGGGGATTTTGATACTGTTGTAATTAACCTACTTATTAATAACAGGAAAGGAGCAAGGGGGAGGCCAAATATTGTGGGCATGCCATTTGTGCAGCTTTGCCAGGAAGCTGCAGTTTAACACTCCCAGGAAGCCTCTAGGCTAGTCCCCACAGATTGCTGGGGGAAGGGACTGGACGGAGGAGAGAATAGATGCATGCCCAGTAAAGTCTGAGTGAAATAGGAAAGGTACTTGCTTGTCAGTCGCACCTAGAAACAGGTCATTGGCCAGTGTAGGTGTGGTTACTGCAAGCACGGGAAGATTTGGAATATTTA